TGAAGACCATCCTGGCCGAGCTGCTCAAGCCAAGAGAGGTGCGAAGCGGCCTAGGTACCGAAAGGTTGCGAGTCAGCGCACAGGGGTGCGAACGATTTTCAAAGCGTGATTTTCGCCACAATCAGGAGGTTACCACTGTCGAATGGGGCGGTTTTGGAAAAATTATCATCGAGAGCTTTCCTGACAAGTGTGAGTTGGCGCTCGCACCCTCATGGTTGTGGAGAAATTACGCTTTGAAAATCGATCGCACCCCCTGTGCGCTGACTCGCAATCTTACTGTAGACCCTGCGAAATCCATGTAGCTGGTAGTGCGATGCCGTTCCGTGGACTTGTGTCTCATCATCAGTTGACACGTCGTTGACATGCCACGATGGTGTGTGTATGCTTTTCATGTTTTTATTTTTGGCATGGTGATCACTACCCGGCTGACGAAATGAAAAAGGCATCAGCGTGCGTATATCTATTTGTGGCTGGATACAAACCTAGATAGCCGCCTATTTAGGACGTGCGGTCTATGCACGTGCTCCTGTTTCTTCTGGCCGGCTCTGTTTTTCACTTCCCTTCCATCTGTCTTTGTTGTTTTTTCCTTGCCCAGGTCGCGCCCAAGACTACCGCCGCCGGCAACATCGTCCCCAAAGCAGGAAAGGGCACCAGCGCGGAGGAGTGGGTCCCCCGGGGCACTACGGCCCCGAAGGGAAACCCCGAGCGAGGCGTTGCTGCTGCGGGAGATGGTGTTACGGGCATGGATGTAGAGGGAGAGGAGAAGGAGGACGAAGAGGATGAGGACGAAGATGATGAGGACGACGAAGAGAAGAAGAAAGAGAAGGAGGAGGAGGGAGATGCGATGGAGGAGGAAGAGGCTGCTGCGGCCGCCCCTCCCGGGCTCCCGCTGGTATACGTGATGGGCCACACGAACGGGTGCAAGCTACTGCTGAGGCTGCTCGCGCCGGACCGCACCGGGTATGCTTTTTTCAGGCGGATGGCTTCTTGGGGTGGTGGGACATGTGTGTTTGTTGAAAGAGCGTCGACGACCGCGCTGCATACCGCCGGGGGGGCAATGACAAGACGCCAGTCTTGGGGATAAGAAACGCGTCACGTGTTTTTTCTGTCCGTCGGAGTTTGTGTGTGTGTGTCGGGCGCGCTCTGTGGCTGTCGGGGTGAGTGGTGCTTTGTGTACGATGCCGTGCGAGAGGTGTTAAAAGCTTGGGGTTCCGTTCATGATAGTCACACGCGCCTTGCCCTCTCTCTCTCTGTGTGTGTGTGTATGTGTCCACGGTTTGTATCTGCTGCATTTCGAAAAAGGGCCTCTATTTGTATCCACCTTATCTCTGTCTATGGACTCTACATTCTGTGTCCACGGTTTGTATGTGTTGCATTTCGAAAAAAGGGCCTCTATCTGAATCTACCTATCTCTGTGGACGCTACGTTCGAAATCGTCATGTTCTTTCCCTCTCATTGATGCTTCTGAGTGAATCTTCCCCCTCTTGCCCCGTCCCCTCTCCCACCCCAGGTACCTTCACCCCGAAGAGCTCGAGCTCCTCAAGCCCACCATGGTTCCCTCACCCGCTGCCGCAAAAGCAGCAGCGGCCACCACCGGGGACGACGATGACGAGGAGGACACCAAGGCAGGGGGGCAGGGGACAGAAGTTCCCCTCGTCCCCTCCTCGAGGAAGGAGGCGTCGGTCAGGAGGAGGGAGCTGCTGGCCTACCTGAGGGAGCCGCTCAGGGAGGCGTGTGCGACTTACGCGCCGATGCTCATGAGGTCCAAGTGCGCCGGGTCGGTGGTTCTGCTCGAGGCAATACGGGTGCGTCTTCTGAGTGTGTCTGCGAGAGCTTCGTTGGTGGTTTGCGGCTACGGCGTTGTTTTCGAGGGAGGTTCATGATGTGTGTGTTCGTGTTTTGTTTTGTCGTGCAAGAGGTTGTGGTTGTCATGTGCTGTTTGTTGTCAAGGAAAGGTCGTTGGGCTTGTGTTTTGGTTATTCATTGTTTACTAGAAGTACAATGATTTATGGTGGGTGTGCATCGTTTTTCAAGGATCGGTCTTGGTCGTGTTCTTGGGTGCTTGCACTTAATTCACTCAAGTCCCTGGCGTTCGGCTATACACAGGCTTCTCGTTGGCGGGCGATCCGAAAGCCCGGTCTCTCTCTCTCTCTGAATCTAAGCACCTGGGACAGCACCTGGACACTTTTTGACACAAGCATGTCTTTGTGGGAACAGAGGGTTGCCGGAGGCGTGACCGCGCCGGCTATGTACGGCCTTTCCTTTCCCAGAGCCTACACCCCGTGGTCTGTAGTCTGTAGAGCCCCCAAGCACGGCTAAGGCGTCCATGTTTAGCCAGATTCCAAACATGGCCCGCGCTCTTTAGAGCCACGGCTTAGACTTCGGGTCTAACCAAATTCCAATCATGAACCACGCTCCTTTTCGAAAGGAGTGCGTGGTGGCCCATTGACTGTTGTAGAGCCCCCAAGAGCACCTATGACTTCAGCTGAATTCCAAGCATGGACCGCGTTCCCTTTCGAAAGGAGTGCCTGGCTAAGAGTCAGACGGCTTGAGTCTTCGACGCCGCCTGAGAATCACTTTTTCTTTTTCCAACCCCGACACGATGTGCCGCCGCCCCGCAGGCCATAGGAACCCCCGAGATTGTCGCCGCCGTGGTGGAGGCTGCGTGCGCCAAGTCGCACGTAGGGAAGCTGCCCATGCATGAGGTGAGCGCCACCAACGAACGGGGAATGAGGCGTATAGGTAGCGGCCGTACTTGCGAACCTCGCTCTCGTGTTTGGTCGAGGTACTCAGTGGTGGTTTTGGGCTATCCATAGATTCAAACGTACAAGTAGACCCTGTGTAGAGAATGGGGTTCTTCACCGGGCGCACATAAAAAATATACAAGTTTAAGTTTGTTTTCTTTTCTATACTTTCGAGCCTGAAGTTCTCTACCTGCGAAGTCGTTGTGTCCGGGCGGGCGCTCTCCGTAGCGCAGCCTGTGTGGTTTTTCCCAGAGTTGCGGTCGTGAAAGCGCCAAGCAGCACTAGTGCTGCTGTTGGCGGCATGGTTGAACATGAGCATACACCAACAGGCAAGCTTTGTTGTTGCACTCTCTGCGCAGTGTGTGTGCGTCTGGTGCTGTGGTAGGTTGTCGAAGGTTGAAGCTGTCGCGACCCTTGTGAATGTTGGGGTTTGAGCAGAGCCTTGGCGAGGATGTTTATCTTGGATATACTAGGGGTACGGGAATTGGGCTAAGGATATGTAGGGTTACGAAACCCCTCTCTCTATTTCGCCAAGACGGTCCGATTTAGGGGGGGGGGGGTCTATCTCGTATTTTTTCGGTCACGGAAGGCGTCTTTGATGATGCTGGGGGCGCTGCCCGTGCAGCCCCATTTTGACGACGAACCTGGTGTTGATTTGCGTAAGACTGACGGTGATATTGGTTGTGCTGCTGCTGCTATTGTTGCTTTTGCTGCTCCGCTGCTGCTTCTACTGCCGCTGCTGCTGCTGCTGCATCTGCTGCTGCTGCCGTAAACCCAACGACGTAAAACCAAAAAATATACTTGTACGTAGGACCCTTCGGCCCACCTCTTCATGAAGCAGCTCCTCGAACGGGAGGCCGAAGCCCAGAAGGCAAAAGGCGGAGCAGATTCTGCTGCTGCCACGTCGGACACCCCTTCGTTCGCGGACGCCCTTCTCGAGAAGGCAGGCGGGCAGCTGTCCTCCTGGAGTTCGACGAACCGAGGCGGTTTTGTGGTGACCGCTCTTGCGGAGGTGCCTAGCACGGGCGCCGCGGTGCGGGAGGAGCTCGGGACGAAGACGGCCCGGGCGCGGCTGGTGAAGGAAGCGACGGAAGGCAACAACATGGGAACCAAGGTGTGTGTGTCGTCGTGGTAGCCGTCTGGTTGGGGTTGGCGGTGTTGGTGTTGATATTGACGGTGTGATGATGGTGGTGGTGGTGGTGGTGTGGTTGTTGTTGTTGTGCGTCGGTGGTGTCGGCGTTGTTGTTTGTGTTGCTGTTGTGTGAGTTGCCGCTGTTGTTGCTATTCTCGTAGGTGTCGTCGCCAAGCGAGCGTACCTTTCTTCGGGGAGAGCACCGACGGCGCTCACACCGGCCCCTGAATGAAAACGACATGCCGGTTTCATGAAGCCAGACCGAAACGAAGGAAACCACTACTGCCACGGGCCACCTCATCGGTTAACGTTCCGTATCGTCCTCAGCCTCGATTCTGTATCGGAGGACTTGTGGTTGGGGGAATTTTTATGGTGATGACTCTTGCGAACCTTTGCTTTGCCACTCTGAACCCGCCTCAACCTCTCCAAACGCCTGCCACACGTGGACCAACTCCAGGTCTTGGCTGAGCGGCTCGGTTTCGGAGATTTCGGCGCGCGAAAGAAGCCGCAGCCAAGAAGCGCAGGCGAAACAGGAAAGAAGACGCGTTAAGTTCAGGGAGGATAGGAATCGCGTGAACTCCAAAGCCGTAGGCGATCAGTAAATGAATAGTAGTAAGTCTTAGGAGGAGCACTGGAATCGCGTGGACTCGTCCCAGGTGGCGGAGACGGGCAGTTACTTGGGCGGGGTTGTGGTGCACGTGTGTCGGGGGGGCGGGGGTGTTACTCGTGCTGCCTTCACGCAACGCGGGCGGTCATGGTCTTCCCAAAAGCGCGTACTAGGGCTGATCGACGAACGCCTGAATCTCCTGAGTGCGGTTGCGACAACGGGAGTAAGAACGCCTGTGATTTGCCCGACCGCTTTCAGCTCACATGGGGCTGGGTTTGGCCTTTTGTTCAGTGTCGTTTTTATATGTTGTTTCTTAACGTGATGCGGTCCTAACGTAGGGGGAGAGTCCCCTCGTGGAAGTTCTTGCGGAGGGCTCATAGGCGCAGGGCCACTGAGGGACGGGGGTATTTGGTTTTGAGTGACGAAGCGGCAGGAGGTTCTGTTGGTTCTGATGGGTTCGTGAGTCGGGTTCCGAGCAAGAACCAAGAGCGCGAAATATAGGGGTATGCATGCCAGTATTGTGCGGGCAATATCTACTTTCTCTGTTTCGCTTGGTTTACGTGTAGGGATGGTTGCGTTTTTTCGGATGAGAGAGCAACCGTGTGGCCTCCCGATCGTTTTGCTCCAGACGTACGTTTTAAGAGGTTTGTGACTGATGCTACGGTAGGGGAGTGCACTGTCGTGCCGAAATCTTGCACTTTTGGGAGAAATCGTGCAGCCCTATTTCGGTGATCGTACGGCGAGTTTAGGACGTGGCCAATAGGTTTACGTAGGTGTGTCTTTCTACCCGAAATGATAATATTACGTGACCCGCCTACCGTAGCACCACTCTGTATTGGCAATCTTCGTCAGCCTTATGGATGCCTGGCATAACGGCCAGGTCTACTGTTAAGTGGGTTGTGTACGTCGCTTTCTGGGCGGCATCTAGAAGCAGGCTGTAGGTGGGCCACATCAGCCGGGTCATCATTTTCCGCGGACCCCTTATGTTTTGCTCTGAATGCCGGTCTCAATACCAATCGTTACCATTTGTGGAAGCACCAGACGGAGTCGCATGGTGGGAAGGTCACCGTTTTTTTTGTTTCATTCAACACAAGATTTGGGGAGGTGCAAATGTGTCTAGATGCCCATATAGATGAGGGTACAAGCCCCCCAAGGTCTGGGAGGATTCCCTAAATCGCATGAACGACGCGTTGTGTGTCGGCAGGTTCCTTCCCCCCTTGGCAGACGCCAAGCGGCGCGTGGCGTCCAAGGTGTGCATGCATACCTGTCGCTTGCTGGTGTATCCCTGTCTGTTGGTCGGGGTTGGTGCCGTCTGTGAAACCAACAATGTGCAAGTTACCTTCGCCCTCTGTCTTCTGGGACAGCACCTGCTCCCCAGTTACAGGTCCTCTTTTTCAACTATGGTGTGAAGCCAGGAGGGTGGGATGAGTCGCTGCTGGTGGCACCGAAGCTGTGCTGCGGTGCTCATCACTTCGAGTCCGCCTGTAGACGCGATATCTTCCAATGAACCGTGAAGGGCGGACCTCCAAAGATAAAAAAACAAAAACGCGTTGTTACAGCCGCGACGGGCGTACCCACGTATGTATTCAGAGATGAGCGAGTGTGCGAGGAGGAACAATCGCTCCCCGACAACCAAGAGAGCTCAACAAAGAACGGTTACGCTCGAAAAGTGGAAAATCCGTCGGCTACATATACGTAACCTGTCCAACACGGTCAGCAATCAATGTGAAACGTATGTGAGAGTCCTTTGGTCAAGGACAGGCAGGCTTGCTTGGGAATACCTTGGCCACACGCTCGCCACTCCCACCCAAACGTGTGTGTGTGTGTTGAGTGATACACGCCGGAGTCCGTTTGCCAGGGACAGGCGTGCTTGGGAGTGCGTTGGCCACACGCTCGCGAATCCCAATGCACGTACGTGTTGATGCGTTGATACACGTGAGGGTCCTTCGGCCAGGGACGGGCTTGCTTGCGACTGCCACTCCAACGTACGGACGTGCTACAATACTAGCAGGGAAACCTCCGCGCCAATCAATCGCTTTCGAAGGGTGTAGTTGCAGATGAGTTTGTCTTTCACCTCGCGCCTGGCCCTTGGTTCTTTACATTAAAAAAATCGTTTTTGTCATCCGCCTAACGCTTCCCCCGTCACCACCGAAGAAAGTGTAGCAACGAACGAACGACACACGAACACGCACTCCTGTTTCAATTGGGGTGGGCGGGACAAACCACTGCCCCCAGATAGGCGGAAAAAACTTAGTATTGTACGGAATCCTCGGACACAACGAGGCACGAAAGAAAAAAATAAAATAAAATGGCGGCAGGAACAACAAAAACGCTCTCTAGCTTAGCCAAGACCAATCAGGAAACTTTATCCCTCCGCCAGCCACACTACCCCTCTCCTTGGCGGGATAAACCCACACGGCCGGAAAAAACGTCTCCAGGCGGGCGAGTGGAGGGGGGGGGGGGTCGCATCGTCTTCCGCCGGCTACCCTGGTGTCACGACCCTGACATTCCTTCCCGTCAGAAGCCGGCAGGGAACTGAGCCACCTGCGCCACCTCCGCTACGTTGACAGTCCCGCGTCGGAACTGAATCTTGAGCTTCATCATCAAGCTCTTCGTTCCCTGCATCGCGTTCGTCACGTTGATTTCCTGAGACACCACGCCATCGCTGGGGAGGTTGGGCAGAGGGGAGGGGGGTCGGAATACGTCCACACACAGGGGGAGGGAGGGCGCACTCATGGTTGTGTATGCCTTCAAGTCATACGGCGTTTGCCTGGAGAGGACGGACGGAGCATGTTATCACAGGGTCCATCATGGCCATTCTCACAGGGTCGATCACCTCTGGCCAATCGTCCCTTTCTACTAGGCCACAAGGTGGCTCAAACATGTGTTCCCTGTCCAATAATATCCTATCGATGTCACCCTCCTGCGTTTTCAGCCCATGTCCTCTCCCTACCTATAACCTGGCATCTATTCAGAAATATTTGCCGTTCCTTTCCCAACCTATCTATTCCTATGCCGCAGTATATGTATGTCCATTGAGCATGCATTCCATGATCCGAAACACTGCTGTCCCTCTCGAGTGCCCCTTATCTCACCTGTGGGGGGGCAGATTGTGGCCCGAAAGAGCTCCCATTTTCATCGTAAACGACTTGGGCACCGCAGCCTGGAACACCAGGCCGGAAATTTCCTGTAAATTGCAACGAAGCAAAATCGGATCAAAAATAAAAACAACCGAACCGAGGGTGAGTGGGTCTCGGCGCAACAGCTTCCAAGCGTTTCGTCTGTGGCCAACTTCTGCTTCGTGCGCGGAGCAGCGGCAGAGCTACCTGCACAACTTGAGCCTGAGACGTGGGGAACTAAAACTGCAACTGGAGTCAATTGTGCACGGGTGGCAAATCGATGGGAGGAATACATTCTGCTGTACTCCGATTCCGCTGTATGCAAGAAGTACTTCGATCCCGGTGTTCGGCAAAAAGTACTCAGAGCATGATTTGCGACAACCAAGAGAGTTGTGGTGGCGGTTGTGGTCGTGGTGGTTGTCGTCGCCCAGTCACAGTCGCAACAAAGCCGCCGGTACGGATACGGTAACATGCGCCCACGGGTTTCTAGACGCTTGAGGTAGTGCTCTGTGCAGACGATGCAGGTGCCGGAAAAGAGGCCAAGGCGGCGATCCCAAGCACAACAGCAGAAGCACCAACGACGACGTCAACAACAACACCAACACCAACACCAACACCAACAATGACACCATGACCACCACCACCAACGACAACAGCAACGGCAACAACAGCAACAGCAACAACAACGCAACAGCACAATTCACAGCAGCAGCAGCAGCAGCCTCAGCAGCAGCAACAACAGCAGTCACAGAACCAAGCACCACCAGCACCAGCGGCAACAACATCACCAACAACAAACAATATCAGCCTCAGCAGCAGCACCAGCAGCAACAGCGACGAAAACGACGGCGACATACCTCGTCCGAGGTGTTGGTGAAGGCGATCGACACCTTGCTCTTGGAAGGATCCGACGCGTCCGGCTTCGACGGCGAAAACACTACTCTCAAACCGCTCTTATCGAACGCCTACAACGGCCAAAGGGTCAAGGAGCAGGGATATAGGGCGGGGGGGGATACTCATGAGGGGGTGAGATGATGCTTGCCAGAGTCGGTACCGGTCAGCCACCAAGACATTGGTAGGCTAAGAAACTAGGGGCTTGGTTGTCACGAATAATTATGACGTCCATCTCCTGTATGACGTCATCCCCTGTATGACGTCATCCCCTGTATGACGTCATCCCCTGTATCTATACCCTGTATCCGACAAAAAAAATAACAACACCATGTTCGTGTCCCTCCTCCTCATACACAGCGGCGAGGGTTGCGCAAAGCTAAAGAGTTTCTCGAATGCGGCGCGTTCTGTACCCGTCCGCGAGGAGAGTCGACCAGATGAGGCATGCCCATACGCCCCCCCACAAGTCTCGCCAAACGTTTCCGTCGAAAACACCGACGAACCCCCAAAAAATCAAACCAGGAGCTTGAAAAACCAAAAAGGCAAGCGCACGTACCCGCCCACCCACATGTCTCGCCAAATGCTTGTGTCAACAAAATGACCAAAGCGCAGAAATCAATCGAGGAGCTTACAAGCAAAGAGACATGCCGGTTTCGGTGGTAAGGATCAATACAGAGTATCCCAAACCTCGCTTCCTAAACCACGAGGGAAACACCAACAACAGCGACGCCAGCAGGACCAATACCCGCTCTGTGGGGATGCGTCAAAAAACGAGAGCACGTAAAAACAAGCCCGTTCGGTCCGCGTCTACTATTGTACTGCCGTATATCGGCGCTCTCCCTGTCTTCCTGTCTGTCTGTCTGCCTGTCTGCCTGCCTGTCTGTCTCCCTGTCTCCCTGTCTGTCTGTGTGTGTCTCTCTCACCACCATCTTCTCCTCTCGAGGCGGCGCAACCTCAAACCCTCCGAAGTCGTCGCTATCTCCGCCGACCGCCACCGGCCCCGGCCCCGGCGCCGCCGTATTCGCCGGCGCCGCCTTACTCGGCACCAGCCCCCCCCCACCCCCGAACACATCCGCCAACAAATCTACGCCACCCGCCGCAGCCGCCGCCGCCGCCCCGTTCCCCGCTCCCGGTGCCGCCGCCGCCGCCACTGCCGGTGACACGGCGGCCGCGGTGGCGGCGGCGGGAGCACTCCCACCGCCGCCTCCGAAAATATCCTCCAAATCTAGAAGGTCGCCTCCGCCGTTGCTGCTGCAGCTAGGGATGGGCAGACCGTTCTTGGAGGGCGAGGGGCCGGCGGCGGGGGCTGAGGAAGAGGCGGACGCCTGCGGCTTGGGAGACCGGTCTCCCGCTCCTGGAGCGTCGTCGAAGGCGCCCATGCCGGCGCCCATCGTGTAGCGGGCGCGCCTGGAGGGGGCCAAGACGCAGGGTGATACATACGGTCTAAGTTGTGGCAGGGAGAGGGGGGGGGGAATGCACGCACTGGCAAATAAACAATAGGCCACCATTGAAGACAACACCAACCCTGAGGCGTACTCCTCACGGACCAAACTCAGAAGTGACGGGGGGTTACACACGCTCATATGGGGGGGGGGGGGGG